GTTTTGAGATGCCAGGTTCTGGAGCTGTGGAAGTAGCTGTGGTACCCAGCACAATGCTGTGAGGTTTTGTTCCTCCTTGGAGTACACACAGGAACAGACAGGCAGTGCCAGCATTTCCCGACTGTGCCAGGCAGCCTGCCAGTACTTGCTAGGTACACTGGTGAGGCAAGGGTGAGCCACCAGCCTGTTCCCAGCATGGAGGCTAACGGCTCCATCCCAGACACCAGTGTCCTTCTGGCTCTGCCCCTTCCCTGGCACGTCATCCTGGGGAAGAGGAGTGAGGTGCTTTCAGTATCGTGTTTTCTGGGAAAGCTATTCCAACTTATACCCCTGGGAAGCAGCCAGTGAGGGGAGGGAGCTGCCAAATCACAGCCAGGGCACAAGGAACATCCGAAAAGGAAGAACCAGCCCAACACCTCAGCCCTCCTTGGCACTGGTTGGGCAGGGTGCCATTACCCTCTGGGTTTGTTATTTTCTGCTCTGGTGTCTCCATGAAATGACCCACTCGGGCATGGAGCTGTGGGCAGGGATCTCCAGGCATTGACAGACCCGGCCCATGCCTGGATCGCCCGTGGCTTTCTGCACGCCAGGGCCGTGCCGGCCGGGCTTTGTCTCTCGCTGAGACTCTATCGCCGCTATAAATAACCGGTGATATCATCCCGTCCCCAGCATCACCGCACACCCGGCCGGGGAGCGCCCTCCCGTGGCACCGGGCAGACCCTAATTCCAGGCAATCCAGTACGGAATCCAGCAACTATCCTCTCTGGCCCCATTGCTGGGTTTTGGAGGAATGATGCAGGGTGGGAGATGCTTGGTGGTGCCCACATCATGTCTTTTCCCTATTTCCAGGTGGTGGTGCCCACCCGTGTGGGCCAGGTGTATGTCTATGACTCCCCCAAGGCTGAGCAGGTTGAATATGATTTCCCTCGCCACCTCATCTCCACGGGCTCCCAGGAGATCTATGACGTGCCGCCTGTCCGAGGAGGGGTCCCGAGCCAGTTCAGCCAGGAGGTGAGGTTGCTTCAGGTGTCAAGGGGGAATCTCTGACTCTGCCCTTAAGAATGGGAGATCATGTATCACAGCCTGAGACCCATACCAGGCTAAATTGCACCCAAAACTGTACTTTATGGACCCCAGTGCTGCTTCTGAGCACCTCCACCTTTCCCAGCTGGTCCCTGAGAAGTGGTGGGTGGCCACACCATCTCTGACATACCGTCCTGTGTCCCCTGCTCCAGGTCTATGACACCCCTCCCATGGCAGTGAAGGGTCCCAATGGACAAGACCCAGGGCAGGAGATCTATGATGTTCCCCCCAGCGTGGAGAAGAACCTGCACCAATGTGTAAGTGCTGCTGGGAAGCTCCCAGCTTCTTTGCATAAGAATGACAAACAGATTTACAAACAGGTCTTTACAGGGAGAAAAATAATTTACTAGATCAGTTTCCCCACAGATGTGGTGATGTCACTGGCACTGGAGGCTTTCAGAATTCCAAGGAATAGGTTGCTGGATGTTCATGTCCAGAAGATGAGGTTGGACCAGATGATCTTTCAAAGTCTCTTCCAACCTGGGCTTCTCTAGGATTTTTTGATTCCTGTCCCAGAGGACAGGGGAACCCCTGGGGTGTATGCTTCACCCCAGTGCCCACCCAGTGCCGTCTTGTATGCCCAGTGCTGGCTTTTTCATGCCCTGCAGCTCAGGGAAGCCGGCCTGCATTTCCATGCCTGCCCCAGGCTGGCTCTGCCAGAAGTGCTGACTGCCACTGCTCTGCCCTTGCAGGTGTACGATGTCCCCCCGTCAGTGAGCAAGGATGTGCCGGATGGCCCAGCACGGGAGGAGACCTATGATGTGCCACCCGCCTTTGCCAAGCAGAAAGCCTTCGACCCCTCCCGTCACCCCCTCATCCTGGCCCAGCAGGAGCCCTACTTGCCAGAGGATGTCTATGACGTGCCCCCAGCAGCTGGGAAAGGTGCTCCTGAGCTGCCACTCTCCCACGAGATCTACGATGTTCCCCCCAGCCTCAAGAAGCTGGGGGGATCCACCTTCCCCTCCCAAGAGGTGTACGATGTGCCCCGGGACCTGCACGCCCCAGGCAAGGGCTCTGTGGACACAGAGGGCGAGTACATCTATGATGTCCCACCACAAGTAGACCGTGAGGCTAAGGGCGCTGATGCCAAGCGCCTCTCAGCCTCCAGCACAGGCAGCACCCGCAGCAACATCTCCACATCCTCGCTGGACGTGGTGCCTGTGAAGGAGCCGGCTAAGGGAGCCGGCAAGGAATTCTCCCTGGACTTGGATGCCGCCATGGAGACACTGGCCAAGCTCCAGAGTGGTGTCAGCAGCGCTGTCTCCTACCTCATGTCCTTTATTAGCACCAACTGGCGCAGCCCCGAGCACATGGAGGTGAATGCTGCCAACATCCGTGGGGCAGCTGAGGGTGTCCGGACGGCCCTCCGGGACCTGCTGGAGTTTGCCCGGGGGGCAGTGGGCAATGCTGCCCAGGCCTCCGACCGCTCCCTCTACACTAAGCTCAGCAAGCAGCTGCAGAAGATGGAGGAGGTCTACCAGGCCCTGGCACGGCATGGCCAGGCGCTGGACGCTTGCCACTGGGCCCCCAGTGCTCTGGCCAGCAGCAAGCTGGGCACAGATGACTTGGAGCACTTCATCATGCACTCACGTGGTGTTCCTGATGACACCAAGCAGTTGGCTTCCTTCTTGCATGGCAATGCCTCCCTTCTCTTCAAACGGACAAAGCCGGTGGTGGAGAGTGGTGGCCATGGGCCCCCTCACCCCTCCGACAAGGCCAGCAGCATCCAGTCACGGCCCCTGCCTTCCCCACCCAAGTTACTGGCCCAGGAGTCGCCTGATGGGCCCTACGAGAACAGTGAGAGCGGCTGGATGGAAGATTATGACTATGTCCATCTCCAGGTGGGCATGGGTATGGGGGCCGCTTCCCACAGGGAGTGTTATGATGGTGGCTTCCTGGCACAGGGGGATTAGGCAGCTCTGCTTCCACTTATGTTTTGCTCTTACCCTCCAGCTTGAGGGCTGTGTGGACCAGGGATATCCCAGGGCAGGTGGGGGCTCTCTGGCAAGGCTGATGTTGCTGACTCCCTTCCATGTCATGCCCCTGCAGGGCAAGGAGGAGTTTGAGAAGACCCAGAAGGAGCTGCTGGAGAAAGGCAACATCATCCGGCAGAGCAAGGACCAGCTGGAGCACCAGCAGGTAAGGGCACAGGGGCAGGCAGGTGGGTGCTGCTGCACACAGTGCTTGGGGCACACAGGGCTCCATGTCTTGCTTCTCTTGTAACCTCTGCTGCTGGTCTGACCATAGCCCTCTTCCCTGGTTGTTCCCATGGTGCATTCTACCTTGCCTTCCATATGGAAGTGTTATGCCAGTGAAGAGGGGCATAAGCACCTTGATCCTGGAAAGGAGCCTTGTACAGCTGTCCTGGGGCTGGTGCTGTCCCTCACTGTGTTCCCTGGGGCTGGAGGCAATGGCCACCTGTGCTGGTGGCTCCATGGAGGTCAGCAGATGCTGGCTCAGTGGTCACCCTGGCTCACGCCTGTCTCTCCCACAGCTGAAGCAGTTTGAACGGCTGGAGCAGGAGGTGACGCGCCCCATTGACAACGACCTGTCCAACTGGACCCCCCCCCAGCACTACAGCCCTGCGCGGGGCGGTGGGACACTGTGTCCTGCTGACCGCCAGCTCCTCCTCTTCTACCTGGAGCAATGCGAGGCCAACCTCACCACGCTCACCAATGCTGTCGATGCCTTCTTCACTGCTGTCAGCACCAACCAACCTCCCAAGATCTTTGTGGCCCACAGCAAGTTTGTCATCCTCAGTGCCCACAAGCTCGTCTTCATTGGGGACACACTGTCCCGCCAAGCCAAGGCCCAGGATGTCCAGCACAAGGTGATGCACTACAGCAACCTCCTCTGTGAGATGCTCAAGGAGATCGTGATGACCACCAAGGCAGCTGCCCTCCACTACCCATCTCCTGCTGCCTCCAAGGACATGGTGGAGCGCGTCAAGGACCTTGCCAACAGCACACAGCAGTTCAGGATGGTGCTGGGCCAGCTGGCAGCCATGTGATGGCCTCAGGGCCACTGTCCCGTCTCTCTGGCCCCCATTCTTCCCCAGACATGCATTTCCCTCCATGCAAGTCCTCTCCGCTCGGTGTAAGCAGACATGTACATAGAGACTCCCATGCACACCGGGGGGCTGGGGCTCTGTGGGAACAGAGGTGAGAGGCTGCAGCCATCATACCCCTTCCCTCTGGCGAGGGGCCAGGAATGGTTTGAACTGTGCCCATAATGAAGCAAAGCAGGGTGGTGGATCTATGTCCACTCCTTCCCCACTGTCCTCTCTCCATTCAAAACCGGCAGCCAGTTCTGGGCTAAAGGGCTTGGGGCCATGTCCCTGCTGAGGCAAGGATGTGCCTGGCAATTTGAGATGCTGTGGCTGCTCTGCTCTCTGGAGGACTCTACCATGCACTCTGGAGAACTCTGCAGTGGCCAGAAGATTCTAATGGTGTGGAAACCATCCCCTGTGATGGAGGGACAGTGTGACAGAGATGTGTTGTACTGTCCCCTTGTGTGCTGGAGGCTGGGGCTAGGGGTCCCCAGAGGAGTAAGGGGGGGTGGGGAGCTGCTGGGGTGAGAAGGGGCTAACCTGTGCGTTCTCACGTCTCGGGTTGTGCTACAGTACCAGCTGTAACCGAAACGCGAACTGAAATTGGTGCCTTTTGAACACAGGGGAAGCTTCCGCTGGTTCCCGGAGCTACCAAGTGGCAGCCCCTTCCAAAACTTGGCCCCAAGTCCCTCAGCAGTATAAAGATTTGCCTAGAAACACACCTTATCTCCTGGGTTATCTGCATGTGCCTGTTGGGGTGAGGGAGTGGCCCTGTGGCAGGGCTGGGGAGATCATGTCCTCTGAAAAGATCTCCTAGCCATTAGAGACTGCTGGTGCACAGAAGGTTAATGGGGCACAAGGGATGGGCCTAAGAGTCTGGGGGGAAATGAGGGATGGCAGTGCAGGGCAATGGGGTCACACAGGCCCTGAAACAGTGGTGGGTGGATATCCCTCATAGCACCTCCTCAGGGGCCATGGCCACCATAGGTTTGGTGTGGCAGAGAGGATGGTAGCCCCCAACCCCAGGCATTCCTGGTCCTGCCTATCCATCCCTTGCAGAACCTCGGGAAGCATGGCACCCTCAGTCCTAGAGGTACCTGTGCTACTGCCCTGAAATGTAGCAGACCTATGGACACCCCACAATGCACAGCTCCTCAAGTGTGTCCTCATCCCGAGCTCTTCCACTGTTGTTGCCCCACGACCTCCCCTCATGCCCATGGTACCAACGGGAAACCAGAGCCCGGTGCCACGCAGGTGCTTATTGAGGGCCTTGCGGGTGACACCGGGCTCCACGGTCACCGAGAAGTCCTCGAGGCTCAGCTCGGCGATGGCGTCCATGCGGCTCAGGTCAAAGCAGACGCCTCCCTGGCACAGGGGCACCCGAAGCTCTGGGCACGGCCGGGCACCAAGAGCCCCTGGGGTGTCAGAGGTGCCGGGGGAGCCGATACCTGCACGGCATTGACGCCTCCTTCCAGGCCGGTACCGGTGCCAAAGGGCACCATGGGCACACGGCAGCGGTGACAGAGGGCTGCCAGCTCCTGCACCTGCCCCACTGCCTGGGGCCACACCACGACGTCTGGGGGGGCACAGCTGGGGGACAGGCAGCACCTCTGACCAACTGCCTTAACCGCTTGACCTTCCCCATGGCCCTTCCCAAACCTGGGACTTGTCACATGCCCCTTCCTCTCCCCATGGCCCCTTTGTCTACCCAAACATTTCCCACATCCCTTCCCTATGACCCTTCCCCCTCCCGTGGCCCTTCCCCTCCCCAGCGCCCTCCCCAGGGGCCCCAGCTCCAGGGGCACTCACGGGTGCATGGACTCATCGTGGCCGTGCTGCTCCCGCACCGCTGTGGCCGTGGAGACATTGGGGGCCCCAACCACGGCCCTCAGGGTCTCCACGAAGTCAGGGGACAGCGAGGGCTGCGGGGGGCAACAGGGAGGACCCGTCAGGGATGCACTGGGGGAGGGTCTGATCGCGGCCACGGGCCAAGGGCACGAGGCCAAGTGGCCACGTCAGGACCCGAGTGCCCTTCGGAGCCCCGGCCCCACCTTGGAGCAGCAGCTGCGGCGGCCCAGGGCTGCCCCCAGCGCCAGCACCCTCCGCAGGGCCATGTCGCGACGGGACAAGAACGGCAACATGGGAGCTGCACAGGAGCAGGACATTGCCCTCCCTCGCAGGCTGTCTGGCCCTCCCCCACACTGACACCTTAAGGTGGCTCCAGCCACACGCGAGTGTGTCCCTGGCGGAGGGACCTGGCTCCCACCGCTGCCTGTGCTCATGTTCCCATGCTGTGTCCTGCCTGAGCGGAGTCACTGCGTTCACCATGGCCCCTGTCCTCGGCCGGGTGTCCCTGTGCCTGCTCAGGTATCCCCGCAGCTGGTCGGGGGCCACATGTCCCCGTGCTCCTCCCCTCCCAGACAGGAGTCCCCATATCCCCCTGCCCATCTGTCCCCATTCCCAATCAGGCGTCTCCATGCCTCCCCCCGCCCCCGTCCCTCTGTTCCCATGCGCAGCCAGGTTTCCCCATTCCCAGCCAGGTGTGCCCGAGTCCCCTTGTCCATCTGTCCCCGTTCCCAGCCAGGTGTCCCCATGCCTCTCAGCCTTCCTGGACAGGTGGTCCTCATGCCCAGACAACTGACCCCAGCCCGCCGCACGCCCCCATCCTCGGACGGGTGTCACCCCGGCCACCCGCCTGCCCCGTGCCCCGCTCCCGTCCGTCCCGGCATGGTGACAAGGACACAGTGTGCTCAGCGGGTGGCAGCGTTTATTGCAGGCCTCAGTTGGCCTCCAGGATGGAGTCGATCCAGTCGCGGAGCTTGGTGACGCGGGCGTACACGCCGGGCGTCTGGGGGTCGCAGGTGCTGCTGCCCCAGGAGACGATGCCCACCAGGTTCCAGGCGCCGTCCTTCTGGCACACCAGCGGGCCCCCGGAGTCGCCCTGCACGGGGCAGCGGGTGAGCACCGGGGCGGGGCCCGGCGGCGCCGGGGGCAGCGCGGGGGGCCGGGGGCACGTACCATGCAAGAAGAGGCTCCGTCGGCGCCGGCACAGACCATCACGTCGCGGATGCGGAAGCCCCAGAACTCCTTGCACTGGGTGTTGGTGAGCAGGGGCAGAGCCGCCTGCTGCAGCACCGCCGGCGTATGCGAGGCTGCGGGGAGCGGGGGGCGTCAGCGCCGGCACCGGCACCGGCACCGGCACCGGCACCGGCACCGGCACCGGCACCGGCACCGGGAGCGCAGCCGCAATGGGGAAAGGCCCGGCACGGGGATGGGGGGACGAGGAGCACAGGACCGCGATGATGGTGGAGATGGGGACAGGGCCGGGGATTGGCGATGGGGATGAGGAATGGGACTGGGATGAAGATGGGCGTACGGGAATGGCTTGGGGATTCAGATGGGGATGGGGATCTGGACGGGACATCAGCATGAGCATTATGATTCAAATGAGGACAGGAACTGACCATATGGATGAGACAGAGGACGGGGATTTGGCTAAGGGAGGGGACAGGAATGGGAATGGGGACGAGAAAGCGCAGTTACCACTGGAGTCAGTGAGCCCCCAGCCAGTGGTGACGCAGGTCATCCCCCCCGGGAATTCATCGGTGGCCTTGGGCAGGCAGACGGGGGACACGCGATCCGACAGCTGCGCCGGAGTGGCCAGTTTGATCAGGGTGATGTCGTCGTGGATGGTCAGCATGTTGAACTTGGGGTTCTTGAAGACCTAAAGCAGGCAGCACCGCTCTCAGCACCTGCACCCCCTGCCAGGGTGCCGGGCACTGGGCACTCCACGGGGATCAGCAGGGACCTCGGGGACCAACGGGGACCTCGGGGATTGCTCCTGTGGGTCCCGTGATGGCAGGGTGCCCGAGTTGCAGAGCCCAGTCCCTGGGACGCAGGGGAGCAGGGACGCCCCAGGTCACATCCCTTGCGGGGATGAAGTGGACCCTGAGGCCCGAACCCCTATCCCTTGGGAGTTCCTGGGAACATCGGGACATCCAGGGGACCTGACCTGAAGGATGAGTGGGAGCAGGGACACCCCACCCCAGGGGATTGCAGTGCAGGGATGTGAGACACCGTGGACACCCCAAGGAACCCTGACCCTCAGGATAAGGGGAACCGGGGACTCCTCAGGAGCACAAACCCCAGGACAAGGGGAGCCCGGACAGCAGCCGCCAGGCCGCCTGTGGCGGCCGTGGGATCCCGCAGGCACACGGACCCCGCCCCGGAGGTACCTTCTCGATTTTCAGTTTCTGCTGATCAGGGCCGGGTGCGTCCTGGTCGTAGGCGCCCACCACCACGGTGTCGGTTTTCCTGGGCACGGGCAGGCACTGAGCACGGGGCGCCGGCACGGAGACACGGCCTTCCCTGGGCACCCCGTGCCCGTGCCCAGCCCCGGCCCGGTGGGCAGCACAGCCCGTGCCTACCTGACGCCGCAGTGGGCAGCGGTGACCACCCAGTTCTCGCTGATCAGGGAGCCGCCGCAGAAGTGGAAGCCGTCGTAGCGCTGGCGGGGAGAGCTGCCCTCAGCACCCGGCACCGCCGCCGGCACCGCGGCCGGCGTGCTCCGTGCCCGGCCGCCCACACGGCACCCACCCCTGCCCCCGGCCCGCCTCGGGCTCTCACCTGGAGGGACACCTGCCACGGCCAGGACCCTGGCACCGCCGGCTCGCCGTTGACAATGCGGGTGTAGCCACGGATGACGGGTGGGATGGCGGGCACGCCGCAGTCTGCGGGGCACAGGCGGCCGTGGGACGGCGGCTCCGGCCAACCCGGCCCCGGGTCCCCTCCCCACCACTGCCGCCCGCCCGAGCCCCGAGCCCGCCCCGCCAAGCCCCACGACCCCACGAACCCTCAGGGAGGGCGGCACGGGCAAAGCCCGCCAGCGCCAGGCAGCTCAACACCCACAGCAGAGCCATTGCCACTTGTGAGGACGGTCTGCCTGGCACCCGGTGGCTCTTATATGCACCCCTGGGCACCTCCCCGCTGCCGCTGGCCTTGCCACAGTGGCCTTGGGAGATAGCGTGGCACCTGCTATGGTGCTACTGGCATATTGCCAGCCCTGGAATCTTCTTCTCACCCATCTCTGTGAGTACCAGGCACCTGGACCTCTGGATGAACAGGGACCTTGTCCCCCTATCTGGGTGGCAACCTGGAAAGGCTCTGCACACCCAGCCTTAGGTGAACTCCATGATCCCTCCAAACGCCACCGCTCCATGACAAAAAGAGCAGGTGGCCCAGAAAGCCCCACCATCCCTTTGGCTACAAATGGAGCAGCCTGAGCAGAATGTCAAGGGAGGGGATCCTGCTCCTCTATTCCACCATGCTTAGACCATGCATGCAGTGCTGTGTCCAGCTCTGATACCTCAATTATGAATGATACGGGGCAACTGGAATGATTCCAAGGATATTTAGAAGCCATCACTTACTCCAGGCCAGTGCTGTCCCACAGCCATAGTCAAGCACAGTGGCTTCAGGTGCCATGCTCCCAGGCCATGTCCTGGAGCTGCACCAGGTGCCACGCTATCTCCCAAGGCCACTGTGGCAAGGCCAGCGGCAGCGGGGAGGTGCCCAGGGGTGCATATAAGAGCCACCGGGTGCCAGGCAGACCGTCCTCACAAGTGGCAATGGCTCTGCTGTGGGTGTTGAGCTGCCTGGCGCTGGCGGGCTTTGCCCGTGCCGCCCTCCCTGAGGGTTCGTGGGGTCGTGGGGCTTGGCGGGGCGGGCTCGGGGCTCGGGCGGGCGGCAGTGGTGGGGAGGGGACCCGGGGCCGGGTTGGCCGGAGCCGCCGTCCCACGGCCGCCTGTGCCCCGCAGACTGCGGCGTGCCCGCCATCCCACCCGTCATCCGTGGCTACACCCGCATTGTCAACGGCGAGCCGGCGGTGCCAGGGTCCTGGCCGTGGCAGGTGTCCCTCCAGGTGAGAGCCCGAGGCGGGCCGGGGGCAGGGGTGGGTGCCGTGTGGGCGGCCGGGCACGGAGCACGCCGGCCGCGGTGCCGGCGGCGGTGCCGGGTGCTGAGGGCAGCTCTCCCCGCCAGCGCTACGACGGCTTCCACTTCTGCGGCGGCTCCCTGATCAGCGAGAACTGGGTGGTCACCGCTGCCCACTGCGGCGTCAGGTAGGCACGGGCTGTGCTGCCCACCGGGCCGGGGCTGGGCACGGGCACGGGGTGCCCAGGGAAGGCCGTGTCTCCGTGCCGGCGCCCCGTGCTCAGTGCCTGCCCGTGCCCAGGAAAACCGACACCGTGGTGGTGGGCGCCTACGACCAGGACGCACCCGGCCCTGATCAGCAGAAACTGAAAATCGAGAAGGTACCTCCGGGGCGGGGTCCGTGTGCCTGCGGGATCCCACGGCCGCCACAGGCGGCCTGGCGGCTGCTGTCCGGGCTCCCCTTGTCCTGGGGTTTGTGCTCCTGAGGAGTCCCCGGTTCCCCTTATCCTGAGGGTCAGGGTTCCTTGGGGTGTCCACGGTGTCTCACATCCCTGCACTGCAATCCCCTGGGGTGGGGTGTCCCTGCTCCCACTCATCCTTCAGGTCAGGTCCCCTGGATGTCCCGATGTTCCCAGGAACTCCCAAGGGATAGGGGTTCGGGCCTCAGGGTCCACTTCATCCCCGCAAGGGATGTGACCTGGGGCGTCCCTGCTCCCCTGCGTCCCAGGGACTGGGCTCTGCAACTCGGGCACCCTGCCATCACGGGACCCACAGGAGCAATCCCCGAGGTCCCCGTTGGTCCCCGAGGTCCCTGCTGATCCCCGTGGAGTGCCCAGTGCCCGGCACCCTGGCAGGGGGTGCAGGTGCTGAGAGCGGTGCTGCCTGCTTTAGGTCTTCAAGAACCCCAAGTTCAACATGCTGACCATCCACGACGACATCACCCTGATCAAACTGGCCACTCCGGCGCAGCTGTCGGATCGCGTGTCCCCCGTCTGCCTGCCCAAGGCCACCGATGAATTCCCGGGGGGGATGACCTGCGTCACCACTGGCTGGGGGCTCACTGACTCCAGTGGTAACTGCGCTTTCTCGTCCCCATTCCCATTCCTGTCCCCTCCCTTAGCCAAATCCCCGTCCTCTGTCTCATCCATATGGTCAGTTCCTGTCCTCATTTGAATCATAATGCTCATGCTGATGTCCCGTCCAGATCCCCATCCCCATCTGAATCCCCAAG